CTCATCCGGCCTGGCCCAGCTGGCACCATCTGGTCCTTGCGGCGGCGCAGCACGAAGGCGGATAGCAGCATGCTCAGGCGCGCGAAGCCGAGGGGGTTCCCCTGGGGCTGAAGCCAAGGAGGAGGAGGAGGAGGAGGAGGAGGAGGAGGAGGAGGCAGCCCGGGGATTTTTGTTCACACATCCCTCCTGTCTTGGGCTCTCGTTTTGAGCAAGTCGCTGCTGGCGTGTCTCCTCCTTCTCATGTTCCTCCCTCGCTTCTCCTGCCTCCTGCCTCCTCCCTGCCTCTTTCCCGGCGGCGACGATAAGGGCGAATAGCCCAAGGGCGAGCATTACACATTTTCGCCAGGGAGCCTTATCGAAGACATAAATCATCGGCGCACCTGAATACATGTATTGCTCTCCCCTGGGCTATTCGCCCCTGTCGTCGCCTCTGACTTTCCTACCGCCCGAACTATAGATCCCGCTCGCGCTGCCTCGGGAGCTGGTGCTTGTTTTTGCTGTTGGGTGCGTTCCCTTACCCTCAAACAGTGGTTGCACAAGGGGCTCCTCTTGCTGTCCCCGAAGACCCAGACATCCGGCCGCTCCAAACTTTTTTGGGTGCGCGGGCCCCAAGAGGTCTGGGCCACTTCCCCAGGGCCGGCGTTTCGTCCCGAGTAGTCTTCTGACGGCCCCGAGGCCCGGGCGAGGGCCCCCGGAAGCCGAAAGTAACGAAAACCACGCCGCCCAAAGCTTTGCTTGGAGCGTCGGATCGCTGGGGACCTGGCTGCGTGCGCCGAGGCTCCGCGCGGTGCCCACTCGGTGGCCGCCTCCTGGGCGCCTCGTGCGCTGCCTTGGCGTGCCGAGGTCTCGCCCGGTGCCCGCTCGTGGCTGACACGCGGCCACCGCGTGCACGGAGCGGCCGCACGGCTTGCGCCACCCGTGCCGTGGGCCACATGGCACACACACTGCCCTCCTAAACCCTAAACCCTAAACCCTAAACCCTAAACCCTAAACCCTAAACCCTAAACCCTAAACCCTAAACCCTCTGCACGGCCACCTCTCGGGCGAGGAGGAAGCTCAGGGGGGGAGGGGCCAACGTCTCACTCGATCGACCGCACTGTGACACTGTCGATCACACCGTCGGTCTCACGATCGATCCCACTGTCGATGTTACTAGCGATCTCACGATCGATCTTGCTACCGATCCCACTGTCGATCTCACTATCGATGTGACTACTGTATAGATCTCACTATCGATCAAATTATCGATTCCACTATCGCTCTCACTGTCGGTCTCTCCATCGATCTAACTATCCATACGGCTATCGATCTCACTCGATCTCACTATCTATTTCACAATCGAACTCACTATACCTCTCAATATCGTTCCCACGATTGGTGTCACTATACCTCTCACTATCGATCACACTATCGATTTGACTATGGATCTCACTGCCGATCTTGCTATCGATCCCACTGTCGATCTCACAATCGATCCCGCTATCGATTTGACTATAGATCCCACAATCGATATCACGATCGATTAGATTATCAATCGCACTATCGGTCTCACTATTGATCTGTCACTATCGGTCCCACTATCGATCTCAATATCGGTCTCACGATCTATTTCACTATCGATGTCACCATCTATCTCACTGCGGGACACCGACGGGGCGCCGACGGGACAACGGCGGGACACCCGCGGGACACCTTTAAGCGGCGAAATTGGGGGTGGAGGGCCGTGGGGGCCGAGCGTTTTACCAATGGCTCGTACGTGGGGGCCGAGCGTTTTACCAATGGCTCGTACGGTTGGTACTGAGCTTGCGCCGACTTCGTACCACTACAAGGACTGCAGCGCTTTGGCCACGCACTGGCAGGCCCGCGTACACCCCGCGCGCGCGCGACCTGCTGAGCCTTCCAGCAAAAGATATACGGCGCACGAAGGCATGCTGCCCGAATGCTTCCACCCGCGAGCGGGGGCAAGAGTACGGCTTCGCCGAGGGCGCCCGGAAACGCATAGCCAGGACGGCCCCATGGGGCCGCCCTGGGAGTCCCTCAAAGGCCCCTTGCGTCATGCCGGAATTCCCGAGCGATGGCCTGCGAAGGCAGAGTCGTGACAATGCTCAGATTCTTACTTATGCGAGTTGCTTGTCCAACTTCGGCTCTACGAGCGCCCAAGTGGGCTCGGAGGTCCCCGAGACCGCCAGTTGACAGCCTCCGAGCCCCCAGGAGGGGCCGCAGAGGCCCCCGGGAAAGCTAGGAGCCCAAAGGGGTTCGCAGGGGCCTCCGGGACCATCCCCCAACATGCCCCCCTCCCCCCCCCCGAGACCTCCACACGCCCCCTGAGAACGTCCGTGAGCCCCCCAGAGGCCCCCAAGAAGCGCCCTGCAGCCGCCCAATGAGTCTCCGAGAAACCCTCTCAAGTCCATACATAAGCTTCCATTCCAAGAAACCCCAGAAGCATGCAAAGAGACCCCATGCAGCCTTCAAGTGGTCGCTGTTCATCAACCCAAGCACGGCGACGAACGGGGCCAACGGTAATTTGATAGGGCGCACGCCACGCGGCTGGAGGAGGCACGCATCGAATTGGGACTCCATGCACATGCTGGACGCGACGGGCCATCCGCCGAAGGGGGCAGCCCTTTGTAAAGTGGAATGGGTTTGCGGTTTGCGCACCCAGAGTTCGACTACTCCTTGTGAGCGACTCGGACGCGCGCCCCCAGTGCCACGAGACCTTTCACATTGCGCGAGGTCCGCGCTCCCGAGGCCAAGACACCTTGGGGAACGCGCCAGGTGAACGCGCCAGAGCGACGACCCCTTGGTGAAGAGCCAGGTGAACGCGCCGGGTCCGCGCCCCCTTGGACACCACCCCAAGCAATTTACGCAGAATCCACGTTCACAGGGCCACCATGCTCTAGAAAATGCGCGGCATCCGCGCCCCCAGAGCCCCGAAGGGAAAGACAGGGATACAGGAATTTGCAGGCAGAGTAGGAATGTGTGTGTATTGGAATGTGTGAGTTGACGTGCCGAATGGAACGACATCCCTGCTGAAGCGCGCGACAACCTCGCGCCGAGCCGGCATAGCACGAACAGCTACACCACATTCGAGTCATACCATTCCAGCCTGGGGGTGTGGACCAAAATAAGGGCATGCAAATCCGACGTTGAGTGGCGGATTGGCCCAAGTGAGTTAGCGAGGCCATATGTGGCGCCCCCGTAGGGAGCGCTCTAGAAACCAAGAAGACAATTCTGGTCGAAAACGCGCCCCCCTTGGGGGCAGGAGGCAGGCGACGCGCACTGGCCGGGGCCAATGGTACGTATAATTGGTAAGCTCCTCGAGAGCTTGCACCCTCCACCCCCAATTTCGCACCCCCTGCCGCCGCCGGACACCCTGTGGGAGGCGGTCGCTTGGCCTGGCGGTGCCCCAGCTAGAAGAGGGCTCGTTCCTCCCGCCCGCACACGCAGCGTCGCCTCGCCTCGCCCGCACGATGCGAACACGAAACCGAAACCGATCTCCTGGTGGGGGGCTCTCCGTTTTACTGCGACCTCACCTCATTTTCTGAGAAAAAACACAAAACTGCGATCTCACCCCATTATATCCGATATTACACCGCATATCTTGTATCACACAGCTTGTGCCACATAGCTTTCACCACATAGCTAACACCACAGGGTTTACACAATACTGCTTGCACCACAAAGCGTGCACCACAAAGGATGCACCACATAGCTTGCATCACAAGGCTTGCATCACATAATTTCCGCCGCCTGGCTTGCATTACACAGTCTGCACCACATAGCTTGCACCACATAGCTTGCACAGCATAAGTTGCACAACGTGGTTTGCGCCACATAGCTTGCACAAGGTAGCTTGCACAACCGAATTTGCACGACATGGTTTAAGCCACATTGCATGCAATACACAACTGGCGCACCTTAGCTCGCACAACAAATGGTACACGACATAGCTTGCGCCGCATAGCTTGGGACCACGCTGGCAAACATCAGTCTGCGTTTCTTGCTTCCTTTCGCGGGCGAAGCAGAAGGTGGTCGGGGAGGAGGGCGACGACAAAAGAGTGGAAGGGGAGGCCTGCTTCACAAGCCGCATGATGCAGCGGTTGAACCACTTCTTCTCGCAAAACGGGTTGATCTTGAGCAGCGCCACGAGGGAGAATGCGTCCTCGATCCGGTTCTGAATTGGGGTGCCAGTCAGACCCCAAACCACATCGCATCTCTCCGCCACCTTCAACACTGCTTTGGTCTGGCACGACGCGAAGTTACGAAGCTCGTGAGCCTCGTCGACGATCAACCGGTGCCAGCTCTGCTGCAGCAGGCTGCCGTGCCCCTTCTCGACGTCGGCCACCAGAGTCTGGAAGGTGGTGAGGATCAGGTCGTGCCCGCTCAGAGAGACCTTGTGCTTCTCCTGGCCATGGAACGTCGCCACTCGCAAGCTCGGGCAATGCTGCGCCGCCTGCGCGGCCCAACCCGCCATGATGGAGAGCGGGCAGACGACTAGGGTCGGCCGGCTGGGCGCACCTGCTGCCACGCAGGCCAGCATCGTGATGGTCTTCCCGAGGCCCATATCGTCGCAGAGCAGGCCCCCGCGAGGGAGCTCGGGGGCCCGGTTGACGCAGGCGTTGGTGATGGTGTTGTGGAAGCCACCGCGGCCTGGAGCAGGCTTCCAGAACAGCGCCGTGCCGCTGGCGGAGGCTCTTGCCACGTCGCTCACGCTCTGGCGGCGCTCGCGCGCAACGGCCCAGTGCAGGGCCTTCAGCTGGTGCTCCAGCAGGCGAGTAGACACGCCCTGAGGCTGCGGCGCCAGCGGCGCCTCCTCGTACTTGACGGCGCCAGCGTAGAGGTCTTCAAAGCACTTCGAGATGTCCTGCTGTTTGCCTTTGCCACGCTTGGATCCCACCAGAACGGCGGACTTGCTGGGTGGGAGACCCCCGGATTCCTCCTTCCAGCGAGGGGCGTCCAGCTCCTCCACGAGGATGCCATCGGGGATGTGCACCACCGACGACCCCGCCCTCGATGTTTTCACCTGCTTCAGCTCTGCGGCCAGTTCGGCGAGCGGCTCCCGGAACTCGCGCGGACCACAGAAGGCGATGTTGACGGGCACCTTGAACTTCTGCTTCGAACCCCGCGGGATGAGCACCTCTGGGTGGATCTCTGGGCACCTGTCGAAGGCGGGGCACACCGTGGGAGCGATATCCTTACTGATCCACCCCAGGACCTCGCCGCCGCTGTTCACTACCTGCAGCCCCGAGGCGCCCTTCCGCACCAGCTCGGCGCACTCCCCGTCCCCGATCTCGCCCTTGTGGTGCTGCACCCCGACGATGTGCGTGTTTAGCTGCAGGAAGAAAAACTCCTCCACCTCCTCTCTGAGGATACCCAAAGGTACCAATACCGCTACTCCCCAAACCTTTCCTGGGGTGCGTTCTGACCATGCTTTCGAGGCGAATCCAACGGTGGCGACGACGGAGGCCCAGGAGGCCCAAAAAGGGGAAAACGGGCGAAGGGTTGAGGTATGGGTACCTTTGCCTCCTCTGACTCTCGGGCCAGACGAACAGGGAGGCACCTCAACGCGGGGGTTGGCGTACCAGCTCACGCAGCCGATCGCCACGGCGGGGCCGAGGCCGGCAGCATGCAGCAGATCTCGTGCCCCCGCACCCTTTCCTTACGTCGGGCCTGTCCCCCTGCAGGCCGATTTTCGACGAACAATTAAAAACAGTTTTGAAAATACCCCAGAATGGTCAAAAATTGTAGGAAAATCGCCCCCACACTATTTGTTCACTATTTTTGAATGTTCCTCCGGCCCGACTTTCCTGAACTTCGGGGGTGGACAGTCCCCTTCAGCAAGACGCCATTTAGCGAGAGCTGCCAGGGGCACTCCACGTGCACGCGGCACCGCATCCCTGTTGCACCCCAGCGGGATGGCTAACCGACGTCCTGATCCACTGGACGTGTCCAGCGAAATGCACGCCGACTAGCGAAACCGACTGGGGTCTGCACTGGCACACGCGAGCGCCAATGCCGAGTGAACCGGTGTAGATGTTTTCCGTCGACTTGTCCGGGTGGGCGTGTTCTCCCTATGCCCAATTTTGGACGCCCGAAATGGGCACGGAAAGAATGGGCACAATGCCCAACAGCAAGTGTTGTCCCAAACCAACAGCGGCCGCTGTTGGGCAGGCGGCCTCCTGTCTCGAATTGACACAGGCCGCGGCGGCGTGGACAGCGAGTCCTGTTCAAAATGAACAAGAACTGCTGTTGGGCATTGTACCCATTCTTTTCGTACCCATGTCGGGCGTCCCGACAATACCCCCCCTTGGTAGTCCCCAAACGTGGTGGTGACAACACCCGGCGGTGAGTCTCGGGCGATTTGCTGTCACCACCCGGTTTGGGGACTCGTGTGGTTTTTCGAAGATGCCCCGAACGCTGGTGGGTCCAGGAGTCACAACACCCGGCGGTGACCCCGTGTTCCAAAAACCGGCGGTGACTTTTTGGTGATTCCAGGTCAACACCTGATACCTCACCACCTGGTTTTGGGGGCTCCCAACCCCTCGGCGGCGACGAGAAGGGTGCCTGGCCCAGGGGCGGGCATTACACGCATTCGCCGGGGAGCCTTCCCGAAGACAGAGATCATCGGCGCACCCGAATACATGTATTGCTCTCCCCTGGGCTGTCGCCCCTGTCGTCGCCTCTTGAACCCCCCCCCCCTCTCGTCCGACCCGATCCTCCTGCACACCTGCGCCCGCAGCGCCGCTGCCAGCGCCGCCCGGCCCGCGGCCTTTGGGCGGCGTCGCCGCCCGGAGGTCGGCCGGCGCGGCGGGAGCTCCCGCGGTGCGGCGCGGCCGCGGCGTGCTCTCCTCCATGTGGCCGCTCCCGCCTCTCAGCGCGCACTCTCGGGCGCTGGGCAGGGAGCCAACAAGTCATGTCGGAGGGCCCTGCAATTTCTAGGCGGGGCGGGCCCAAAATCATGTCTCTCCTGCTGCCGACGATTTCTGTCTGCAGATTAGCCCACACCGACCCAGTGGTTTCCTCACCGTGCCCGTGAGGAGTTCCCCGAGGCTCTACCCGGACAGACTCTCTCTCTCTCTCCCGCGTGTCGGCCACGCTCGACATTGTGCGAAACACTGCCTGACAAAGACTAGCACCACCACGCTGCTACACCTGGCCGTGCTGCCGACATATGGCCGCTTGGGCATGTACCATATGTGGCGCAACTGCGGTCGCCCTCGCGGGCGCGGACAAAAGGGATCCTCCCCCGCATGCGCCATGTTCAACATTGAACCACAATCGGATGTGCCGCAGAAGGGGGGCCAGAAAGAGGGGACTCTGCGCACCATAACCCGAGGCACGTGCGCTGATGATAGGGGGGCCAGGGGGCGCTTTAGATGATGACAGGGGAAGGCATGAAGTCTGGGAGTTTCCATGGCCGCGGTGACGACTTCTCTCCTGGCCCTCATGCTCTTTTGGGACGCCCCGGGGGGTAAATTTGGAAGCCTGCCGACGACCCAAACCGGCGCCGCCGCTGCTCCCTGCGAAAGCATTGCCCAGGCCCCCAGCGGCCCCCACGACGGCGCGCCCGCCCCCCCCCAACCCCAACCCTCCTCCTCCTCCTCCCTCCTCCTCCTCATCCTCCTCCCTCCTCCTCCTCCTCTCCTCCTCCTCCTCCTTCTCCTCCTCCTCCTCCTTTTCCTCCCTCCTCCTCCTCCACCTCCTCCTCCTCCTCGTCATCCTCGTCCTCCTCCCCCGCCGGGCCCCTCCTCCGCTGGACGGTGGCGGAGGAGGGAAAGGGATCGCCCTGATCCCTGATAGTCTTAGCGGGCCGGCTGCAAACGCACGTACTTCTCGCGCGCGCTGGTTGAGGTCATGCCGATGGAGTCATTCATTCTGCTCATGGTAGTGCTGCTGGAGTCCTTCGTGCTGCTCACGATGGTGATGCTGAGGTCCGTCGAGCTGCTCACGGTCGCGCTGGTGGGGTCCGTCGTGCCGCTCGTGATGGTGCTGCTGAAGTCCGTCATGCTGGTCACGGTCGTGTTGCTGGAGTCCGTCGTTCGTCGTGCTGCTCACAATGGTGTTGCTAGAGTCCGTCATGCTGTTCATGGTCGTGCCGCTGTAAGACAGCCCGCACACCCACTTGTGAACGATGGCGGACCAAGCACGCCCAAAAATGCATGTGCGCATGCATGTTGCATACATACACTGTCGGAGCGAGGGGCCTTCGCACGCGCGCGTCCGTTTCCAGTCGCACTCGTGCTGGCTGGCTCGGGCCGGGCAGGGTGGTGGAGCTGCAGACAGCCGACACCACGACCTACAGCACCTCAGGCCGCCCGTGTTGGGCGTGCGCGGGGAGGAGGTCCGTTACTCCCGCTCCCGCTGCTGCTCCCTGTCTTTTTTTTTTTTTTGATCCGTCGCTAGCTTACCGCGCGCGCGGATCTACCGCCTGCGCGCCTTGCTCGGGCTGGGGGGCCCCGCCCTATTTTCGGTGGGCTGGCGCCCTCGTCAGGCGGCGCGCGGGGACGGGCGGGTCGGCGGGGGCTGCGAGCTTGCTGCACTTTCACTGGGGGCCCGACGACGGGCGGTGAAAAACCCAACCCTAGAAGGGGGCCCCCTGAGACCCGCCTCGCCCGCATCCTGCCAGGGGCGCGCCGGGGCGCTGCGAGCGTCCGCGGGCTAGCGGCGCGGCCGCGCGGCGCGCGGCGCGACGTCGGACTTGTGGCCGCTGCTGCGGAAGCCAAAAAGATGGGGGCCAGGGTGTGCCGCGGGGATGGCGGCCGCGTCCGCGCCGACGTGTTCCTGCGCGACGCGAACCTCCCGGGCATTGCTGCCAACGACAGGCGCCGCATCAAAGTGGTGGTCAACGGACTCCCTGCCGATCGCGGCGGGCAGGCCGCGATCGACGCCTGCATCGTTTCCCCGCTGAAGGCCACCGGCATTCCGATCGCGCGGAGGCGCCGCCCCGGTCTCGCGCTGAAGAGGGCCAGGCGCTGCATGCAGATGCCCTGAACTGGTCGCTTCGCAGCGTGGCTACCTGGTCGTTGCGGGTGCCAAGACAGGCGGGCGCTGGGACGAGGAAGCCTGCAAATTCTTCGTTGTCTTGGCGCGGGCCCAGGCGAGGGGCGCGCCGGTGGCGCTGCGAGGGTCGCTCGCTGGCGACCGCGTTGCTGCACAGGTGGGGCGGCGTGCTGGCGCGCGCCGCCCACGACGCGCCGGCGGCCAGCCTGCTGGAGGACGCCGAGCGAGACTCTGGCCACAGACGAGGAGGAGCCCTGGCCAGAACGTCCTCGCCCCTCTGAGAGCACGGGCCCCCGCGCGGGGGCGCGCGCGGGCAGAGCAGTTCAGCGCCACCACCACCACGACGACCAGCACCGCCACAACCGCCACCGCCGCGACGACGACGACCAGCGCGCCACCACCCCGCGACCACCACCGGCAGCACAACAATTACGACCAGCAGCACCACCACGACGGCGAACAGCAGTTCCCGCCCCAACCCCAGAAGGCATCCGCAGTGGTCGTCGTCGTCTGCAGCGGGCCTACGCAGCACCCCCCCCAGAGGGCATCCGCAATGCGTCGTCGTCGTCGTCGTCGTCGTCCGTCGTCGCCGTCCTCGTCCTCGTTTTCGTCGTCTTCGTCGTTGTCCGCCCTTATGGTCGGCGCAATTGTCGAGGGCGACCGCGGCGACTGGGAGGAGGAGGAAGAGGAGGAGGACGAGGAGGACCAGTGCAAACCAAAGAGTCATCAACGATGTTGGAGTTAACCTTCCCTCAAAGCTCCTTCTTCGTAGGCCCCCACAACGGTTCATTTCCATTGGCGGAACTGCCTCGTTGAAAGACACCCTGGAAAACCCTGACGCATGCCAAACTAATTTTCTCTGGATTTCAACGCCAGCGTCTTGACGATCCAGTGGTCCATAATCGTCCCAGACATGACATTTTTGGGGCTCCAACACCGCGAATCAACATAAGTGCTGCGCCCGCGTAGTCCTGAATCTTTCGAAAACGCAAGCTCTGGTACGTAAATCATGGGAACCCGTGAAACTCTTCCACCTTATATGAACGAATGCGCGCGGCGCCAAGGCGAGAACCACATTTTGAAAAGGCCCCGCCGTCAATCCGTGAAGTTCTTGCACATGTTTAAAACGCATGTGCCAGCGTTAAGGCCAGAGCAACATTTTGAAAACGACCCGCCTTCAATCCGCGAAGTTCCTGCACATTTTGATAGCGAGCGTGTGCGGCGGTGAAGCGAAAGCCGCATTTTGAAAAGGAGCCGGCCTCAATCCGTGAAGTTCTTGCACATGTTTAAAACGCATGTGCGCGGCGTTAAGGCCAGGGCAACATTTTGAAAACGACCCGCCCTCAATCCGCGAAGTTCTTGCGCATTTTTCCCAGCCATCATGTGGCGTTGGGTCTTAGTTTTGAAGAAACGGTCCTCACGTCTTCTCCTCCCGTGCCCCCCCCAAAGTCGGGGCACCACGTGCGTCCGCCACGCCCACGCCCTGTGCAGCGCTTCGTGGCCCCATAGGGGGCTCCACCGAAGGCCCCACTGGAGGTGGCCACATGCGTCCGCCACACCCAGTACAGCGTTTCGTGGCCCCATAGGGAGCTCCACCGAAGGCCCTAGCGGGGGTGGCCACATGCGTCCGCCACACCCAGTACAGCGCTTCGTGGCCCCATAAAGAGCTCCATCGGAGACCCAATAGGTGTAGACACATGCGTCCGCCACGCCCAACACAGCGTTTCGTGGCCCCATAAGGAGCTCCGTCGGAGACCCAGTAGGGGTGGCCACATGCGCCCGCCACACCCAGCACAGCGTTTCGAAGCGGGGGTGGCCACATACGTCCGCCACACCCAGTACAGCGTTTCGTGACACCATAGGGAGCTCCACCGAAGGCCCCAGCGGGGGTGGCCACATGCGTCCGCCACACCCAATCGGCGTTTCGTTGCTCCATAAAGAGCTCCATCGGAGACCCTGTGAGGGTGGCCACATGCGTCCGCCACACCCAGTACAGCGTTCCGTGACCCCATAGGGAGCTCCACCGAAGGCCCCAGTGGGGGTGGCCACATGCGTCCGCCACACCCAGTACAGCGCTTCGTGGCCCTATCAGGAGCTCCACCTAAGGTTCCAATTTTGGTGGCCACATGCGTCCGCCGCACACAGCACAGCGTTTCGTGGCCCCGTAGGGAACTCCACCCAAGGCCCCAGCGGGGGCGGTCACACATGCGTCCGCCACACCCAGCACAGCGCTTCGTGGCCCCAAAGGGAACTTCACCGAAGGCACCAGTGGGGGTGGCCACATGCGTCCGCCACACCCAGTACAGCGCTTCGTGGCCCCATAAAGAGCTCCATCGGAGACCCAGTAGGGGTGGTCACACATGCGTCCGCCACACCCAGCACAACGTTTCGTGGCTGGTGGAACCGTCCGCCTGCGTCCCGGAAGCCGAACTTGGCATTTCCACCCGCCCAGTACAGCGTTTCGTGGCCCAATGGGGAGCTCCACTGACGGCCCCAATGGAACCGCCCGCATGCACCCCGTAAGCGCAATTTGACATTTTCACCCACCCAGTACAGCGTCGCGTGGCGCCAATAGGGAGCTCCACCGAAGCCCCTAATGGGACCGCCCACATGCGTCCCACACACCGAATTCTGCAGTTTCACCCGCATGGTATAGCGCTTCGTGGCGTGGCCCCATCAGGAGCTCCACCGAGGCCCCCAGTGGGACCGTCCGCGTGCGTCCTGGAAACACAATTTGGCATTTTCGCCGACCCGATATAACGCTTCGTGGCCCCATTCGGAGCTCCACCGAGCCCCAGGAGCTTAATTTGGCATTTTAAACCCACCCATTACAGCGCTTCGTCGCCCCATTAGGAGCTCCACCGAAGCCCTCAGTGGGACCGCCCGCATGCGTCCAGGAAGCCCAATTTGGCGTTTCCACCCACCCAGTACAGCGCTTCGTGCCCATATTCGGAGTCACACCGAAGCCCTCAGTGGGACCGTCCGCGTGCGCCCCGGAAGGCCAATTTGTCATTTTCACCCACCCAGTACAGCGCTTCGTGGCCCCATAGGGAGCTCCACCGAAGACCCCAGTGCGACCGCCCGCATGAGTCCCGCACGCACTC